CGTTCTCCCGAAGGCAGTACTCCTAAGCGACCATCTCTCAAGAAATTCTTCCATATCCATTCGAGTAAAAGCCAAGGCGACAGCGACGCTATCGAAGAAGAACATTTGACGTCGGCAGAAGAGTACTTGTTGTCCAATAATCCACTAGTCTCTGGTCAAAACACACCTGAAAGCACAGGCCAGACACCACCAAGCAACTCTCATTCCCGTGAATCGAGTGGTGGGCCTGCAATCCGGTGCCTGCTCTGTCCTGAGATTGTTCGGCCAGCAGGAGACCCACACTTATCGAAGCCTCAGGCACCCGTCGAGGGTACTCCAGCATCACCAAGAAGTGCGTCGCCTGACAACCTTATCTACCTCACCTCCATCTTGTCAAGTTCAATCTCTCATTCTACTTCCACACCGACAAAGACCCCTCATTCTACTTTTACTCCGCACCCTTCCCCAGAGAGCAGACCTGACACATCTGGTGACACATCTTCATTCGACGACTCTCTTGTCCCGGCACCGCTCCGAATCACCCCTAAGGACAAAACCGACACTCCCGCACCTCATTCCCCGCTCGACAAAATGAATCCACCCCGTGTTTCTCGTCTCCTCGACCCCGCCATGGCGGCTATCACCAAGCATAAAGCTGAAGCGATCAAGCTCGCTCGTGAGCAGAGCTCTGCAGTCCAAGAGATGTGCCGGAGAGCGAAATCGGATGTTCCTGCCTACGAGTTCGAGGAACTGATTGGCAAAGGCTCATATGGTCGAGTTTACAAAGGTCACCAGCTTCCCTCCCGCAAGCTCGTCGCGATCAAGGTTTTGGACATCGACTCAATCGACTACAAATCTCTGCGGGACTTTCGAGACGAATCAATCAACGATTTCATCCGTGAAACGAAAGTGATGAAGCAGGTCAAAGAATCTGGCGCGAAGAACATTAACGAACTCATCGAGGCTATCTCTATTCATTCGCAGCTGTGGCTGGTTTGCGAATATTGCCCTGGTGGCAGTGTTAGAACCCTGGTAAGTTTCCGTTATTTTTACTCGGTCTGATCTTCCAACATTAGCACTTTGTCTCGTCTCTCTTCCACATTTCCTAGCATTCTTTGCAATTGATCACTGATGATTTCTCCTCTTAGATGCGAGCCACTAACGACCGCTTGGAAGAAAAATTCATTATCCCTATTGCACGTGAACTTGCCGCTGGTCTCCGTGCCATCCACAGTGCTGGCATCATACATCGAGACATCAAAGGTATGAGATCACTTGGACCAAGCCCCCTCTTTGAGAATCTCTACTGACATTCTTTTTCTAGCCGCAAACGTCCTGATTCACGAAGAAGGAAAATTACAGATCTGCGACTTTGGTGTTGCTGGCGTCCTTCAGTCTCAGTTGGACAAACGCTCGACCTGGATCGGAACCCCTCATTGGATGCCACCAGAGATGTTCTCGACCCGCGGCGAAGCTCACCAGTACGGAAGTGAGGTAAGTGACACGTGTTTCGCATAGACAATATCATTGCTGACTGGTCTAGATCGATGTGTGGGCGTACGGATGCACGATTTTCGAGATCGCCACGGGCAATCCTCCCAACTCGAACCTCCGAGAACGCATGCAGATCGGGAGACAGCTGAATCGCAGCACCCCCAAGCTAGACAATTCGAAGTACAGTGACGGCCTGAAGAGTATCGTATCCTTTGCCCTGGAATCAAACCCCGTCTCTCGACCTGCAATGGCAGACATTCTGACCCATCCATACATCGCTGATACCGAGGAAACCCACCCCACTTCGTCCCTGAGTGAGCTTGTTCGCATGTACTATCAGTGGTCTCAGCGGGGTGGACAACGTATCTCGCTGTTTCACCCTGGCGGTGCTGCCGCTGCAGAGATGCCAGATTCCGAGCCTAGTGACGAGGACTGGAATTTCAGTACCACTGATGGTTTTGAGCGTCGCTTCTCTGTCATCGATCTCGATCAGCTGGCGGCCTCTATCGCTGAATTGGAGGCAGAAATCAGCCCGACCACGAAACCTCAATCCATGTCAGACATCCCTGATGAACCGAGCGATCAGGAAATGACAATTGAAGACAAAGCGAACTTCGATGAGCGGGTTCGTCGTGGTGCCGAAGCCATGGAAGGTCTTTTCAATGAAGAAAAGCCAAGCTATACTTATGAGACAAAGAATGACTTCGTTCCTATTGAACCCAAACCCCCCGCATCCGACCTCCCCCTGCGTACAGAGACCGATCGCTCTTCCGTCACCTCTACCTTCATCGACATTGACATCGGATCCTTTGACTCGTCGCATTATGCGGCTGGAGCGTCATCTGCGCAGCCCTTCCAGCTCGCAGACGCCGATACCATTCGCGCCAATAGATCCAGCGGTCGTCAACAGCGCAACTCCACCGATGGTCGCTCTCGATCTTCCAGTAGTGGCGTGAGCAGCACTCGTGACACTGACGATGTGCCATTCCAGCCATCAACCGGCCCACGACCTCCGACCATGGATTGGAAGTTCCCTGTCTTCATGCAACCTGCGACAGAGGAGGAGCCTAAGCCCGCGCCCGCGCCCGCGCCCGAGCCCGCGCAAGCGCCGAAGCCAGCTGAGCTAGACACCTCAGAGAAGCGCGCTACAATGGAGTGGACATTCCCAGTCATGACTGCTCCAGCCGACGATGACCCCGTGAGCCACGAAAGCGATGCCGACGTGACCCGCAATAACACTCTGAAAGCGCCCATCATGAGTCTGCAGACCTCGGACACCATTCGACGCTCGAGCATCGGGGAGCCCGGTGATTCGCGGCCTTCCACCTCGCGATCCATTGATTCCAACGTGTCTGCGAGCTCCGAGACCGATTATGATCCATTCCGCTTCGACCGTCCCTCCACCCCGCCTGGCGCTCCAGCTGCTGCGGAGCCTAAGACGTTTGACGAGTCGGACTTCCCCACAATGTCATTCGACGAAGACGAAGAAACGGATGTCCTTGATGGCCCGGGACCCGATGAAGAAGAAGAATCGACTTCTGCCTGGCATGAAAATCCCGAGCAACAGCACTCGCACTCGGAGCCATTCCCCACCGCCATTCCCGTCAAAGACCTCGAGCTCGCCCCCTTCCCCTCTACCACGGACTCTCCCACCTCCGAGCCGCTCCCCACCGCCAGACGCAACCTCCCCATCCTATCCACCGAAGACACCGAGCCCGTTCGTTTCCCGGACGTTCCTCTCCCCCGCCTTGATGCCCTGACGGAAGGTGTCGGTGACCACGCCATCAAAGAGGAACTGGACCGAATGCTCGATGGCTTCCTGCATGCTCTCAACGCCACCGGACGTGCAATCTCCCAGACCACGGTTGGACCCGAGGCGGAGGTCAATTCCGACATGGTCTCGACCCCGGAACATTCCGAGTGAGGGACATTATCTTTCAGACGGCGACCGCCCGCGAGACACGACACGAGACAACCCCGAAACCCAAGACCGAGTTTTCTTTTTCTCTCCCTTACTTGAAGTTACGAAAATAAAATTAACAGGTGGTGCATTGGAGAAAAAACGTTTTTTTGGAACCGTATGCCGAAAATTCGGGTATGCTGGCTCATGCATGTATTTGACGCGACGGACTGAGAATGATGGAACTCATGAATTTCACGAACGAATGATCTTGCATTTACGGGCCTGTACTTATAGAGAGAATGCAATTCACACGTGATATCCAAATCTAGATTCCTGCTGGTATAATTGATAGTGTAAGATCCCGATCTGAGTAGAGAGGCTGGACGGATGGGTGGCTGAGATGAGGTGCATGGCCCAGGGGTGAGACGGGCTTTGGTGCCGAGTCTAGAAGCAACCTTGTTCTGTGGGTCAATGTATGGTTGGTTCTATTACCAACACCAGATTGACCCGTGATATGCTGTAGCTGTATATGCTGGGGAATCAGATCTCAATCGCCCGAGTGCATGGCTTGATCTCGATAAATCTATAAATGTTGCGGCACCATTTTTTAGGCTTTGAGGAAAAGAATTAGTACAAACAATTGTATGGTCCTGAAAAAGTAGACATCATGTAAGGGGATTAGCCTGGTCAAAGAGCAGACGCAGCGGCCAATTGAGTGGTAGCATAATGATGCTGCGGCTGAGATTACCTTACCTATTTAAAGTAAGATGGACTGAGTCTCGGTATTCTTGATATGAGATTGGACGGAAATGGTCCACTGAAGTCCTTTCGTTGAATGTTTTGCAGTCAGTAATTTGACATGAGGTCTTGTCTTTGTCTAGCGCCATGCAGTCAGACTCACTAAAGTACCTAAAGTAACCCGCTCGGCCCACGGCAAAATGGCGAGGTCGGCGCCGCTAAATCCGTCACCACCCCGTCTCTCTCGCGCTCAATTGTTCTTAAGAGTTCAAAGTCAACAATCTTTCTGTCATGCATCCTTGCTTCATGAACACAAGCGACCCTCGTTGACTATCATACTATGAGTGCCGGGAACGACAAACCCCTGGAAGGGGCCCCCGGACTTCTTTCTACCTGGTGGGGTCAATTCCGTTATACGACTATTCCGTTATTATCAAACAACACACAGCAACAAAAGCAGCCACGATGGAAGACCTGGCTCCCTCACGGTCTTTCACAAGATCCCAATGAAGGACGAGAAGGACGAGAAGGACGAGAGTGGCTCAAGGGAGCCGTCATCTGCTCCTGGATCACTGCGACAATCCTGGCCGTCAATTCCATCATGTTGATTGTGGCACTCATCTTCGCCTATCGCCAGTCGAGCAACCACGGTCAATTTCAGATGGTCGAGCTCTTCACGGGGAATTGCTCCCTGGCAAATCGCTCCGCGACGGGTATACATGTAGTGATCAACGTCTTGGGAACGATTTTACTTGGGGCCAGCAGCTATGTTATGCAGTGCCTAGGTGCGCCCTCTCGCTCAGATATCGACCGGGCCCACGCGCGCTCGCGCTGGCTGAATATAGGGACCTTTAGTTTTCGCAATTTTGCGATAATGGGTCCCAAACGAAAAGTTCTGTGGGGGCTACTGTTGCTCAGTTCCACTCCGATCCATATGATATACAACTCGGTCATCTACTCATCCATTGCGGAGCTCGACTCCGGGAAGCTCTTGATCCCGCACGACCTCTCGTCGAACGAGTCTTTGGTCAATGACGCGGCGAGCCGCGAGAGATTCCGGGCCAGAGTTGGCCTCGATCCGGCGATTGTGCAACAGCGGATCTTCGATGGAACTTTCACCAATTTGACAGACAAGGATTGTTGGACCAAGCGGGCCGATGAGACATTATACAGTACACTTGTCTATGTCGTTGACAGGAAGTACTTTCACAATACGAGCAGTCTGTGGGTAGACGGGGGACAAAACCCTTCCTCCGAGAACTACTACCCTGTGGAACCAGTCTATTGGAGCTATCGCGTGTGGAACTACACAACTGTCGCGAGCGGGCATCCATACCAGTTCAACTTTGCCGATGATTCTTTCCAAAGTCTGTGGAACCCCTACGACAAAACTAATGCAAGCACTGCGTTGCAGGCTGACGTGGTGGGTCTGCTAAGTTACAATTCGCAATACAATCCGACTCAGGAGGCTCTGCGCGAGTACTTAGACACCCCCTCACACTGGCAGAACAGCTCCTGGGCAGCCGCAACGACATTCGAGTTCTTCGAAGAAGGCGACTTGGAGCTCGGAATATATCCACAGGTCCCTGTTTCGCACTGTCTTATGGATGAAAGCCGACAGCGCTGTCAGCTGCTCTTCAGCCCACCGATTGCAATCGTTGTCATAATTTGTAATGCGATCAAACTGAGCTGCATGATGATAGCAGTCGGAGCCAGGCGTAGAGATCTACTTTTGACTACAGGCGACGCGCTGGCCTCGTTCCTCACCCGACCTGATCCAACAACTCGGGGTCGATGCTTGCTCTCTCGCGCAGAGGTGGCTCAAGGACTGCATTTTTGGGGCTGCTCTGCACTCACTCCCGGTCATGAGACAGGGTACTGGGTGCAAGCACAGAGCTCAAGCCGTAGCTCCAGCCCAGCTCCTAGTCTAGGTCTCGGGCAGAGCCCAGGATCCTTGAATTACCCGATAGACAACATATTAATATCACCATCCGCGACGCAGACAACCACTGAACTTCGCCCAAGAGAGGTTACTCCGCGACAGAGATGGTATCAAGCTGTCAGCTGGCCTCGCAGGGTAATAGCCTTATTCTGGTTAGTCGTTGTCAACCCCGACGAGCCCTCCCCTACAGAAGCCCCATCTACACCTGTCAATCCCACTAACCCAACTCCTAGCTACATATCATGCATCGCAGTGAGCTTTGCCCTTCTCTTCCACGGCATCGGTTCCGAAACCTTCCACGAGGCCATGTCCATCGGCTTCAGCAAGTACTCGGAATCCTATCTAGCCAACACGAACACCACAAACATCCTCGCCCTTGTACTGTTAGCCAACACTCCCCAGCTCGGCTTGTCCGTCCTATACTTTGTGACCAACGGCGTCTTGACCTGCATGCTCCTTGACGCTGAGCTCCAGCGGTACGCCACGCAACGCCGCTCACTCCGCTGTTCCTGGCCCAAGGGCCAACAACGATCGACCTACTACCTGACTCTGCCTTACCGGTACAGCCTCCCGCTGCTGACGGCATCCGCTTCGCTTCACTGGCTTCTATCCCAGAGCTTCTTTTTTGTTCACATCCGGCGGGTCGATATCTCCCAGCGATACGTAGTGGATGAGGCGCGGGGATGCTGCTACTCCCCGTTAGCGATCTTTATCACGATTTGGGTCGCTGTTGCGGGGCTCTTGGTGGTTGTAGGGCTCGGGTTCCGGCGGTTTGAGAGCGGAATGCCGCTAGCCGGGGGTTGTAGTATGGTTTTGTCCGCACTGTGCCATCCACCGGAGGATGATGAGGGCGCGGCCGAAAAGACGGTGATGTGGGGTGAGATTTTAAAAGGTCCTGAGCTAGGTCCTGCACAGAATGACAAGAGGCGAGTCCAAGAGAGGTTTATGGAGGGTAGGGGGGAGACGGGGGCTGCCACTGCCGCCCGGTATGGGACGATGGAAGGATGTGCACATTGTTCATTTAGTTCCTTGGACGTGATGGCGCCAGGCCTGGATCGGTTATATGCTTGATCGAAAGTAGTAGGCTCGAGATGAAATGATTGATCTTGCCCCTTCTCAAACACACGGTTGATAACCTGCCGGGGAATGCTGGCTCAGCGCCTCACAGTGGAGGGCTTCCAGTCAGACACTCACATTGGCGACCGTCCGATTACTATCAACCCAAGTAGCAGCATCTACCACAACTCGCCTGTAAGGCTCTCTGTACTAACCGGGATCTCCCCTGCACTCAACATCAGAGCTTTCTGTTGAAACCCCTTTCTCAGTTCATCCTCCCGCTTTACTAGTTGTGTGCATGCACAAGACATTATACAAATGCAGCCTACTACTGATGCTCATAACACTGCTACGTTTATAAATATCCAGTATATGAGAAATTCACTGGTGATATACTCTTAATAAACCTGGGACTGTAGATCAAGAATACAGAAACGCCCAGGTTGGTGTATTACAAACTGACGACACCGTCTTGCTCCGGGCGCAGTTGACTCCATGTTCCGTGGAATTAGGGCTGTGGTTCCGACGGAGCTTCCGCTGACAAAAAGCCGCTTTGCTTAGTTAGTTAGTCACAACACGACCATTGTATAGGTGTAGCACTCTTGGCTTTCGCCTTGATCTTACCAGTAATTTAGTTTCCTCGGTGATGAGATATCGCCATCGCGGCCTTAACAACCACAAAGATGAGATGAGTTCGGAAGCCGAGATGCGTCAGCATCCCTGGAAATGTCATCCGACCAGAAGAACCCCTACGAAGATTACGAGAGTACGGAGCAGGTAAACAACAAAAGATCTTTTGGACTTATATATAGGCGTCGTGGGAGTCTTCGAGTTTGATTCCTCCCTCTCTACCATTCCCAACAGTTGTCTTCTCCTTGTCTTGCATTCTCACCCGTCGACATCACCACCTGAACATTTCTAGTCAGAGAGCTGAAATATGGGAATCAAACCCGGTATCACGCTATATACCGAGGGCACTCCCAATGGCCTGAAACCCACCATTCTGCTGGCTGAGCTAGGTCTGGAATACAAGGTACAGTGTCTCACAACTTGAAGCTCTTGACGTCCAATCCAAAGAGACAATGTCATCTAACCTCCGCAAAAGCTTCACCCAATCAACATCCCCAAGCACGAGCAAAAAGAGCCATGGTTTCTCGAGATCAACCCCAATGGTCGGATCCCTGCCCTAGTCGACGAGGACGAGAATGGCAACAAGATTACGCTTTTCGAGAGCGGCAGCATGTTGCTGTATCTTGTGGCCCGGTACGACAAAGACCACAGGGTCTCATACCCCTATGACTCTCCCGAGTACTGGGAGACTGTCAACTGGGTCAGTGTTGCAATTCCCGCGTTTCAGCCGCCACGAAGATTTTCCATCGGTTCGAAACTGACAGACACATAGCTGATGTGGCAGATGGGAGGCGTGGGCCCGATGCAAGGCCAAGCCAACCACTTCGCGAGTAAGAGAAGACAAATGCTCGCATTTGATGATAGGAGACGTGCCTAACCTGGTTGGTTGTCTAGGAATGGCACCCGAGAAGCACGAGTACGCCATCGGCCGCTACGTGAACGAAACCCGCCGCTTGTATCGCGTTCTGGACGGCCACCTGGCCAAAAGTCAATCCGGCTACGTGGTCGGTGACCGGGTCACGGTGGCGGATATCGCTCTGTGGAACTGGGTGGCTGCTTACAGTACGTGGATGCACCCCCCACCCCCCTCCCCCTCTTCAACACAGAACACTGACAGTCGGACAGAATATAGTGGCCTGTCCAGCATCGACGAGTTTCCGCATGTTCAGAAATGGCTCTTCGAACTGTTGAAGCGGCCCGGCTTTGAGGAGGGGCGGAATGCCCCCGGGCCGCACATTTATCTGGAGCTCAATAAGCTGTCGGACGAGGAGTTGAATGCAAAGGGCCGCGCTGCTGGGGCTTGGATTCAGGAGGGCATGAAGCGGGACGCGGAGGTCTGATTGTGGACTTGGTTCAGGCTGATTTGGACTCTTTGGGCTTGGGCTTGGGCATCGTATGAGTGCGGACCCAGAACATTCTTCTTATCATGAGAGGCCATGTATCCGTCGTGTATGTGCGAGATGTCCTTTCAGGGCTGCTCTTCCATCATCCTTCATCTCTCGTGGTTTCTTTCCACGTTGGGAAGGACAGTGATCTATTGAGACTTGACCTTGTTAGTTGTTCTAGTTGAAATAAGGAGACTCTTGATTTGTGACGACTCAAAGCGAGCTACGCTATTCGCCATTCTCAATCCCCGGCTGTTAAAAAGACCGCCGAATAGAGCTGGATAGGCTTCTTGTCACTCAAGCATGAGCTTTGAGTCAACTCCGAAAACTTTATTGATTGTGGTATGGCGGGTCAACAAGGCTAGTGCGTAGTCGAGAGTATATCGCCGCCCGGGAGAGACTGCAGGTAGGTTCGACTATCATCCATAGAATACTTCTACTTCTACTTCTATAGCGAATGGCGAGTGGGATCGTCACTTGCACATGTAACAAGATGCTCAAACTACTATCTGGAACGACCTTTGCTCGACACCTTGCTATTTGTTCACTTCTAAAAGACCCATTCATAAGACTCTGAAGAAGAGACGAGGCTGATGCCACTGACGATGATCGGTGATCTGATGCTGGGTCATTCAAGTGCAAGCCGCTGGCTCGTCTAAATAATTGGTATATTGGGGAGAGCTTTTGCAAGGAGTGAAAGAAGAAGAAAACTACATCGTTTTCATGTGATTACAACGAAAGCTGTCTCTATGAGCTTGCGATAAGCTGATCAGCTTTTGCTCATTTAGTCGATGAAAAAACAACAACTTCGCGAGAAACGCAAATTTTTTTGAAATTACGCCACGATATCCTGGGCTTACTGTGTCCGGCAAATAGTACAGGGTTAACCTAATCCCATCAAGCAGTTGTTCTGGCCTGTGAACGCGACTTGGATTGAGTGAACTCCCAGATTCAGATAAGCCTGTATTCCTCTTTTTAAATCCCTCATGCTGGACCCGTCCAGCCACTACGGTGCAGCCATTCCTCAAAAGAGGATGCCTTCAACCCCAATTCCTCAAAGGAGTGGTCCTCATTCTCAGCGAAGGCCCCGTAACAGATCTTGTCCGCTGGCAGTATGGCAGCCCATTCCATCATCTCGGTGGCATCCTTCTTAAAGGCCGGCCCAACGAACGGAGCTGTCTTCTCTCCGAATTCCTCTGCGGTTATTGGATCATGAATTGCGGGTTGACCAGTGACCTTTGTGAACGTCTCTATCATCTCAACAGGGGTGACTCGAGAGCTTAGCACAAGGTACGTCTTCTCACGGGTTTTCTCAGCACCCAGCTCGAATACCCCTACCCGAACAAATTAACATTTCAGTCGTACTTCAATGCGTCTCAGAAGCTCGACACTATGTATATTCGAGGATAGAAACTTACTGGATGCAAATATACCCATGTCATGGCTCGGATCAGTCCACTGCGCAACCTGGCCGCTGGGAATAGGGATGCGAAACCGAACAACACCGTCCGCTATGCGATTATCACATTAACCCAAATCTGTACCGAGAACTGAATTTTTCAAGCTGAACTTACATTGACGGTCACAGTAGTGAGGCCAATACAAATTGGTATAAAAGAACCCTATGCAACAAATCAATTGTCAGTGAAAGGTGTGCAGCTGTGGACCCTCACAGCAATTGCTGCTGCAGAATCACGAACCCGGGATGAGACAAGTCACCGCGCCGAGCCTTTGCTTGGCGAATTTCTCGACTTCATGCTTGTTGTTCATGTGATGGATATTCGGGTATCGACCTTCGGTTGCGCGGACCATATCCGGCAAGCTACTGAAGACGAAGTGCTTGACACCACATTCCTCCGCTGCCAGGACGATACGACGACCTGCCTCAACCTCATGTTTCAGGTCTTCTTCTTTGTCCAGGATTCTGCCAGCTTGGGTCTCGGAGGTCATGGCAAACACGCCGTATGCGCCTGCGAAGGCGGCTTGGAGGGACGTTTGGTCGTCGACGCGCCCGGGGACGAGCGACAGGCGTTGGTCGATGGTCTGGTGGTCGGCCAGAAAGTTCTTTGCTTTTGTTGAGTTGGGATCTCGTGTGATTCCTCGAACGTGCCAAAGACCTCCGTCCGGTGTTCTGGAGCCCAGCAGGGCACGAACAATCCCCCCTCCTTGGTTGCCTGTGGCCCCCATGACCACTATAATGCGGGAGGTGTTGGGGACAGACATCTTTTTCTAGCGTGCAATGTTGCTAGATACACAGATGACAGGGTACAAGGATAAGAAATGAATGATGAATGAGTCGAAGAGGAGTTCAGCTGTATGGGTAGAAGTGAAACGGAATGCACTCCGGAATATACATGGTGATTGTCGCATTCGTCAGGTTTTTGTACTTGTTCTTTCAGTTGAGATGTACCCAGTAGGATACCGGCAGGTTCCACGGAACCAGGGTTCCCTGCATCTAAGACTAAGGAAATCAAGTTGGAACACAGAAGTATTCTCAAGGCTACGAGTGATGGCCCTGGGTGGGAAGAAGTTGTTAGTTGTCTGGGTTAACTTACCAATCCGCAGAATTAGTCAGCTGGCCGCCTGCTTCCGCGGAAGCAGCTGAGTTAATGAGGGTACTTAAATTACCAAGCAGCAGCTCCAAGCAGCAGCTCCATGGAGGTGCAAGTAATCTCCTGAGAAGACAATTCCGACAAGCTACAATGGACTCCAGTAATCGTCCAAGAAAGGTCGGGACTAAACTCGGAAGCCGTGTTTTACCCCGAAAAACATCATTTAACTGTATTTCGAGCAGGCATGCGACCTGTGTTATACTCGCAAGATCAAGTGCGACGGGCAGGAGCCCCGCTGCTCCAATTGCATCAACTATGCAACCGAATGTACACACATTGCTCTGCGCCGTAAAGCGAGACCGAGAGCACAACGTCGCGCCACGCAGAGTTTCCCATCTCAGCCAAAGGCGCAAAGTCGGGCAATTCATCAAGCCGAGCGGCTCAGGGAGATCACAGGAGAAGCACCGGTTGACGATCAATCGCCCAAGGATCCGAACCATGCAATTGACATCATGAAGCTTCCTCCACTGCCAGAGGCTATGGCAATGGTTGGAATCTTTCTCAACACAGTAAACACGGCTCTACCGCTTTTCCATGCCGACACACTCTTGCGTATGGTTGGGCAGTGTTATGCCCTCCACCCGCGACAACGCGATCCACTCGTTTGGGCTGCTATCAATACCGTCTTCGCTCTGGCCAGCCAACACAGGCCCAGTAGCACGATTGAAGGTGTCTTCCATCGTCAGACTGAGCACACGAATGAGTATCTCAGCAACGCACAATCGGTTGTCTCAACGGTGATGACGGGAGATGTTTCCCTATTGAATGTACAGACACTTCTAGGCATGGTGATGGTGCTCCAGACGGCGCGTGACCCGACTCCAGCTTTGACGTTGCTATCCGCCACCATGCGTCTTGTACACAAGTTGGGCCTACATAACCGTGCCGCATCAGCGCATCTTGACCTTGTGCACAGGAGACAACACGCCCGCGTATTCTGGATCGCATACATTCTCGACAAAGACCTCAGCCTGCGGGCGGAAATCCCCCCCGTGCAGCTCGATGACGATATCGACGTGGACCTGCCTTCTTCCTTGCCGGTGTCCCTGGATGATAATGACAACACTGCTGGCACCCTTGTCACCGATGATGGGAAAGCCAAGCTGAGTTATTTCTTCGCCCGGATTCAGCTCGCCAGCATCGAGGGTCGTATCTATAGGTATCTCTACTCGACGCAAGCCTCAAAGCAGAGCCCGCTGGAAAGGACCCTGCTACGAGATAGTATTAGTGTCGCATTAGATGAATGGAGAGCGTCCATCCCGCTCGAATTCGGCGCCGCGGTTGTCACCTTGACCGCGAGAAGCAAGCCGGCGAGTCTGGGCTTCTTCTGTGTGCTTCACTCAAGCGGGCTGCAGTGCAGGATGCTCATTAACCGAGCCCAGGCGATGGACGAGCAATGGATAAAAGGGGTCCGCAATTTCAGTCGAGGCATCAGCCCTCTACAGATACCGCCATGCTGGGAAGGACTTGTACACGAGGCTCGAGACTTCGTGCTCTTGTTCCAGGAAATCTGGTCGCGAGACAGTTGGTTCCGATGGTATCAACTCCTACTCCCTTTTCGGAAGGTGTATACGTGACCGCTAAAATCACAACAGGATAACAACCTGTCCTTACATATCTGCTACAATGCTGTTGACAGCAAACAGCCTCTACAACATTCGGCATAAAAAAGTCGCACTAGACATCGAGCTGATTGATGCCGCCCTTTCTTGGCTGAATGACCTCATATTAGAGGATCCATCGGATGCTAAGAAGAAGTTTCGAGATATTTTCACCGAGGCCGCTCACAAGGTGAAGCGAAAGCTTGCTGTCAATGATAGGCTCGAGTGAGCAGGGTTCTCTAGGTATCGGTGCTAAGTTCGGCACTAGCTAGCTATACAGTAACTAGTGCATAAGCTACGCGAGACTAAGTTGCTTAGTGTACGATGACTTTCCCATATCTATGACTGCTGACTGCATCTGTCTCCCCTCTTCGTACTCTTCGTTTCTCTCACTTCACATCTTCCTTTCTATTCCCCGCCTCTGGGAGATATTTTCATCCTACACACGCATACACATACAATGTCCGATCAAAAACAACCACAACCTCTCACCTGGGTCGTCACCGGCTGCTCCTCCGGCATTGGTGAGGCCTTGGTTCGCGCGATCTTGGACAAGGTGAGTCAGTCCTCTTCCTCAATACAGCTATGCGGATGCTAATCAGAAGGGACACATTAAACAGGGCGACCAAGTCATCGCGACTGCCCGCCCACGCGACGGTGTCAGCGGGGGAGACCGTCTCTCGGCTCTGAAAGACGCGGGCGCTGCTGTGTTCGAGCTAGATGTAAGCAGCTCGCAAGAAGAACTCGACACTAAGGCCCGCGAGATCTGGGAGATATTTGGCAAAGTGGATGTGTTGGTCAACAACGCAGGATATATCGATGCAGGAATTTTCGAAGAAATCACGTTTGTCCCGCCTGTTCTACTTCTAAATCCGTCATGACAGTTCAAAAGACCTAAGACTTTGTTAACCTCTTCTAGCGAGTCGTTTCTCATCAACGCCATTCGCACCAATGCCTTGGGTCCTCTCAACCTGACCCGCGCCTTTCTTCCTCTGATGCGCGCCCGGCAATCCGGAACCGTGCTCTTCTCCAGCACCGTAGGAGTCTACTACGGTGCGCCGGGGGCTTCGAGCTACACGGGTGGCAAGGGTCTGCTGGAGACCGTCGTCCCCAACCTGGCCCTCGAGCTGGCGCCCTTTGGCATCCGAACATCGCTCCTCACCTACGGCTACTTTCGCACGGAGGTGATGGCGCCCGGCAATATTCATTACCGGGCCCCCCGCCAGCTGCCGGAGTATGCGGAAATGAACCGTCTGGTGGCGGCTGGTTGCGCGGCCTCGAACCACAATCAGTCGGGCGATCCTGCGAAGGCAGCTGCAGTGGTTGTTGAGGCGGTGAAGGGGACAGGTCGATGGCAGGGCAAGCAATTGCCTTTGCGGTTGCCTATTGGGAAGGATGCTATCAGTGCCATCCGCAAGGCTTGTGAGGAGAGACTGGCGATCTGTGCGGAACTGGAAGGGATCGTGGATCAGACTGATCTTTAAATGTGCTCTTTCTTTCTTTCTTTCTTTCTTTCTTTCTTTCTTTTTTTTTGACGGGATGTCAGTGAATGGATACCTATATGGTGTTTGTTAGGAGAACTTCTTGAAATCGTCGGTCAGTGGACTTGTACATGGCCTGTCGATGTGATCGGAGTTATCCGCATGCCAAAAGGGTATGGGGCAGTAGTCTGACACGATCGCAAAGATCATTGGTGATTATGTGCAGCATCGGACGGAGTAGGCATCTAGGACCAGATAGTTCGAGAGGGCTGAGGACTTACCGAGCTGGTAAGTGACAGGAATGCTAGCCATACGTTCGACATGCACTGTCAGATTTCGGGATGTGAATTGGGTTGACATTCACTTCCTGATCAGGAAGGCATGGCATGCCGGGACTGCAGGCATGTGAGGCGTCATCCCCTCCTCATCCTTTCCCCATCCACCGGGAAGCCTCTACCCATCACATGAATGACCTCATCAAAGAAAGACAAAAGTTATTCTTATAATTGCACACTCTTCAGCTCACACGCCAAACACCAAATCAACACGCACGCCCCGCTTGGACGTGTCAGAGACGTGATTGTGGAGACTGCCCCATCTATACAAAGCTTACCTCAATACCCTCGCAACCACCTTTCTAGTCACCATTCAACAGCTCCTGACTCGCCTCCTTCTGGTCTGGCTATGGTGTCACCCATCATGGCTGAGAAGAGCATCAACTCTCCTCCATCCAGCCCTCCCATCTATCCTCAATCACCTGAAGGATGGCAGGTTGCCCTCCGTGCCATAAAACGTCTCTATGCCCAGCGACAATACAAGCAGTGCACTGCGCGCGTCTCGGAGCTGCTCATAACCGCGTTAGAGCCAGTAAGTATCTAGCTCTTGGGAGGCGAGTCGACCAGATCCGAAATGATTACCCCGAGCGAGCCGGGGGTGTGCGTGAGTCGCGTGCTTACACCGATCCTTCCAGATCCATCCTGTCTACCAGACGTTCCTCTATTTCTACAGCGCCATCTGCTATGAGGCAATGGGCCTTTCCGCTCACAATTACTCTCGCAACAAGCTCCCATTGCTGCACTCTGCTCTAGACTGTTTCACCAACTGCAGTGCTGCCTTGCCGAGCCCAGTCCCAACCACCGAGCGCTACTCACACATTTCCGAGGCTTTGTTTACTTCAGTCCCCTCGGATTATTCCTCGTATTCTGACTCCCCGGGATCGAGAACTAGGCCCTCGAGCCTTGCAAGCAGCCTTGCGGACATGATCGAACGATCTCTCATCTACGGCAGCGTGGATGGGGATCCCTTTGTCTCGAACGATGGCGATGATGAAGACAGGCAGTTTCAAGAAGAGCTATGCACAGGGATTCTAGCGACAAGCGCCAGTCAAAGCCACTTGATTCCCTCTCCCTTGAATGTCAGAAAACCTTCCGGGGCTTCTATTTCTAGCATATCAGGCACATGTGATGATGCACCGAACGCAAGCAAGACCAGTGATTTACATGCTTGGACAAATCGCCCAGCAGCCAGCAGTGTCGGCACAAGCAAGATTCCTCTTGCCCGTCCACCTTCCAAGGTTCCTGTCAAAGTTGCTCCACGACCCGTTCGAACCCCTTCTCCCGAGCCTCGACACGGGACAAATTTTGCAGATGCCATTTCTAGCTTGGAAGAAGGGCGGAGAATTCTTCCATACCCCACAGAGTACACCAACCATATCTCAAACTACAACAGCAGTATACGCTCTCTTAACACCCAGATCACCTCGAGCATCACCACCATCCGGGCCATGATTGAGGAAGTAACCGAGATGCAGCACGCTCGCCGGGTGTCGAAGAGTATCCGACGCTCGGCATCTTTCTGGAGCTTCAGTCCTGTGAAGGAGAGAGATCGGAGTTCTTCGTCGGCCGTATCTCGTGCCAAGTCTGCTGATAACAGCTCGGGACGAGTACTCGTCACCGAGAGCATGGAGCAGCGAATTGAGAGGCTACGCAGTGAAGGGTGGCAGACAGTCGGAACCAAGTCTCAGCGGCGAGGGTGGAAAGGAGAGGAGTACTACCGGGCCTACTGCTCCAGAGTCTTGGAAGAGCTATACCTGAAGGAAGTGCAGTGATCCATTGCTTTTAGTGGTTGCATAGATGTATTGGCGTTTGAGTTACATTGAGCTTGTTTGCCTCTGGCGTGTCGGTCCAGCGATCTTTTGAGGGTTGCGCTTGGCGTTGAGGATTGCATATGCATAGCATGGTCGCGTCGTTTGTACAGATAACTTAGCATTGGGGTGAGAATTGTAAGGGTAGCCGGCGCACGGGGCTGTCTATACTTGAAGGAGATGCAGAAACTCTTCTGGTTCCGATTGCATCAATGGGCTGGTCTCCGTACCTGAGACCAAATGAGAGCACTAATTAGGGCAACCAGATAGCCACTGCACCTTCAATTACATGAATCGGGAATCGATAAGTGGACACAGGATGCATTTCATGCATATCATTCATTTCTTCCTCGAGACTTCCATGCATCGACTTAGTGAAACACAGCTTTGGGGAAAACTCCTTCAACCCTAGCAGTAAAGGGCCATGGAGCTAGTGGGACGTGTCAGAGTTGTTTCACAGGGCTCCGAGCAAAAAAAGAGACGACAGATTGGCTCCAAGCCTGCACGATCCAATCCGTGCCGGGCGATTGAACTACAGACTTTTGTGGCTGGTGATAGTCGATTTAGGTAATGTAGTACTCATTTACAGCTCCGATTGAGATAGATCCGATTTCGAGGTGCAAGCTTGAATTTTTTTGTCCCCCTTGGGGGCCAAATGTCGCTGTCTGTGGTTTAGCCAGTGTGCAGTACGAGTACGAATTGCTAAATATAGCTAGTCAGTTGACATGGCGTAAACTTCTAGCATAGCAGTGACAATTGCTGTGGGCGTTTGTGGATTCCCACATGTCTTACTATGGACAGGATAACTTCACTTATCTGCGTAGTGTACGTTACCTTTCTCCTATAACATCCGTGGGCGGCACAAAATTTGGGCGAGAGGGAGGGAGGGGGGGGGGCGCCGCCTGGGGATTTAATTAAACAGGGCTGATTTAGCGTCAGGGACTGGCGGTTTCAGGTTCAGTGCGCGAGTTCGGTGGGGTGCCTGATTTGCAAGGCTGCATTAGTATTTCAAGTAGATTTACCTACCCTCCAATGGTCATGAGACGGACTTGTATTGGCCTGATCCATTGGGCTGAGATTCAGTTCCAATTGGGAGTTGACGTCAAACACGATAAGTTAAGTTGACTTGAGCAAACAATGGAAGTTTATGTAGTGTACGGAGTACTGTACATGCAGAGGGGAGCTCCATTAATGCGGCAGCCTTGTCAGTAGCAAGTAGAAAGTAAATGTAGCCGTGGCTGTGCTTTCCACCACCCACGGGCCAGAACTTGGGACTTTCGTACTTCCTCCCACTGCCTCCCCACTATCCACTATCGAGGTCTCGCTGTCTCTCCCTGACTCTCACCTCTCTTTCCTTTTCAAATAAAACCCTCGCTGGCCCTTATACCTCGCTCTTATTGACTTTCTCTGCCTGAATCTCCCCGTCTCTCACTCTCTCACTCTGCATTGCATTGCGTTGCCTTGCACGTGCGTTGCCGATTAACGCCTCAGGTACAGTACCGCTGCCGCCCGCCCGTGTTTACACCCTCAGCTCTCTCCGCCCTCTTTTTTTACGCTTTACACTACCCCCCCCTTATCGCTCATCCACAACTTGTCTGCTTGCCTTTCCCCCTGGATTTTCTACCTTACACCTGACGCAGTTTATTTCTTTTGATCTGGTCAGAGACTCACCCGTAATCACTGCTCCTCTAGTCCAATCTCTCTCCCACGACTCTCGACCGGGATTTTCTCCGACCTCGTTTGAACCGCCCCGCTACTATTCGCACGTGCGGGGTTTCCCATCGATTCTTCGCGCGCTCGCTGGTCAGAGCCCACCCACCGCACACTACTTTTTAGATCCTAAGGCCAGGATAATCGGCCTTATCACCCGTCGAGATGAGTTGTACGTTGTCAGCCTCTTTCATGCTTGCTTTCTCATCGCCCATCCCCGTCCCACGAGACATGGTCCACGCCTCGTGGTAGCTTCGCTTGCCTTGAAGCGCTATCGCTGTTCCTTATCCTATCTCCTATCTTGCTGGTGGTGGTGTCTTGGAGCTGTCGGGCTTCACAACCTCCCCATGAATGCCTCATTCCCAATCACCTTTCTCTGTGACCCCAGTGTCCGGGTTTGGGGTGGATTTCTCATTCTGATCTGCTTTCTTGGTCCGCCAATCTCGTGAGGCATTGTTGTTGTCTCCGTTTTCCTTATACCGTCCATCTGTCTTGCCTTGGGAGTGTGTGTAGCTCATGTGCATTGATCTGTTGCTTTCCTTTGCAAGCAAATGACTCGACCAGCATGCGCTAACCTTGGGATTCTCGTTTAGTCTCTAATATGCTCAACAAACTGTCTGGACAGCCGGAAAGCTACGAGAAGAAGTACGGTTCTCTCCCCTGCTTCATATTGTGTGGAAGGCGTACTAATAAGTGCTTTTGCTCTTTCGGTATAGATCCCACTACAAATTCGGAAGAACGCTCGGTGCTGGCACATATGGTATTGTCCGGGAGGCGGATAGCAGCAAAGGGAAAGTCGCGATCAAGATCATCCTGAAGAAGAATGTCCGAGGCAACGAGCGCATGGTCTACGATGAGCTGGAGATGCTCCAGGCTCTGAACCACCCCAACATCGTCCACTTTGTCGATTGGTTCGAATCAAAGGTCGGTCAACACGGTGGCTCGCCTCGTCGTTGCTTCTCTCTTTAACAGCTCGATAGGACAAGTTCTACATCGTCACGCAACTGGCCACAGGTGGAGAGTTGTTCGATCGCATTTGCGAATACGGAAAGTTCACAGAGAAGGATGCGTCTCGAGTCATCCGACAGGTGCTCGGTGCCGTACATTACCTGCACGAGCGAAACATTGTCCACAGAGGTGAGTGCGCTCCTGCCTCGCTTCCAGATTCTACGAAATTGCCCTGCGCAGAAAACTGATTTCCAAATGTGCGCATTAGATCTGAAGCCCGAGAACCTTCTATACCTCACCCGCGCCCCTGATTCCCCCTTGGTTCTGGCCGACTTCGGTATCGCCAAGATGTTGGATAGCCCCAGCGAAGTTCTCACCAGCATGGCGGGATCGTTCGGCTACGCTGCCCCCGAGGTGATGTTGAAGAAGGGCCACGGCAAGGCCGTCGACATGTGGTCCCTCGGAGTCATCACCTACACCCTCCTCTGCGGCTACTCGCCCTTCCGGTCCGAGAACCTGACCGACCTGATCGAGGAGTGCCGCTCGGGGCGGATCATCTTCCACGAGCGCTACTGGCGCGACGTCTCCCAGGACGCCAAGGACTTCATCCTCACGATGCTGCAGCCAGACCCGGTTAAGCGCGTCACGTCCGAGGACGCCCTGAAGCACCCCTGGCTGACCGGCGAGACCGCCAGCGACCGCGATCTGCTGCCCGAGATCCGCGCCTACATCGCCCGGTCGCGTCTGCGCCGCGGCATCGAGATCATCAAGCTGGCCAACCGCATCGAGTCCCTCAAGATGCAGGAGGACGACGACGAGGATATCCCCAGCGTCGTCGAGGTGGCGGGCGGCGAGGCCGACGCCGCGGCCCCCCACTCGACCGACCCGGCGGCCGCCTCCCCGAACGGCAAGTCCGCGCCTTCGTCCCCGGAAAGCGACGCCACGGGCCGCAAGAAGCGCAGCCTTAGCAAGGTCGCCCGCGGCGCGATCTTCCGGGAGGTTGTCCTTGCCAAGGTGCGCGAGGCGAAGGAGACCGAGGAGCGCGAACGCGTGGAGCGGGAGGCTCGCGAGAAGACCTCTCATGCTTGATGTGGTGGTTGAGTCCTACGAAGTTTAGCGAAGTTTCCCGATAGAGAGGGGCAGAGAGGGGGTGAGATGTCTTTCCGACCCCTACTATCTGTGTGCCACTTTTTGCTTTGGGGGTGGGGGGCATTGGCTTCTATTCCCGTTTTTCTTTTGGACACCATGAACACACACCGTGGAGAATGCTCCTTCTGCAATTTTCTTTTCTTTTCAAATGATTCCCCGTCCATAGTTTCCTTGTCTTCTAGTGGGTTATGTCCAACTTTGTGAACGAGAATCTGATTTTGCATCTGGCTGGTTACATCGTACGGTTTGTAACGGAGTTAGAAGACAGTCATCGAACAGTATTAGTAGAGATATCGTGGTTCATTTCTTGGATTCACAGATGGAACAGAAGACCAGACAAGGCAAGACGGGGAAGCATTAGGCGAGGCAGTAAGAAGATATGTGGATGTGGAAGTCCAAATGCTAGCGGAAGGGTGGGAGGAGGGAGGTGGGAGATGGGAGATGTGAGAGATCCGTGTGAATCCCAGCCTCAGCCTCAGCCAGCCAAGGGATTTCGAAACCAGAAACAAGAACAAGAAGAAAACTCCAGATACGCCCGCGCCAGTAAACCCCCATGCAGATGGAAAACACAACAGACGACAGAGGTGTGAAAATAGAACCCAAGAACGAACCGCGGGAAAGAGATCACTCAAGTATGGAGTACATCACTCCCCGATCCCGCCTTTCAACCCTCTTCATTCAATCACCCTCACCCACAATTCCCCCTCCCCCTCAATCCAGACCCCAGAACAGGAAGAGGAAGGGGCTATACATTATCATCATCATACATGAAATTGATATCCCTGGGCCGACGGCGGTTATACGAGACGAAATCCTTGTCGCCGGGGGGCCGCTCGTTGCGGCTGTTGGCGGTCAGCATGCTCTGGATGCTCATGCAGACGCTCTCGACCGTCTGCACGGGCGACCAGCCGGCCGAGCTGAGGAGGTCGAGGCAGATGATCCCGTTGCTGTAGATGTGCGGGTGGATGGGGATGGTGCGGCGGGGGTGGGTGGTTGCAGTCGCGTTATTCTCGTCGGCGGCGGCGGGAGTGGTGACGAATTGGACTTCGGGGGGTTCTATTATTTTCCCCCGGGGGTCATTAGCGATGCGTATTCTCATATATATATATATACACGGGTACCGATGTGTATGGTGGTGATGGTGGTGGGAGGTTTAAGCCTTGGGGAGAGCAGCGCGGGGTTTGGATTCAGATCGCGGGGCATCCATCACCCCCCCCCTCTCTCTCCGAGTCTCTATCTTGTGGCAGCAGGGGGGGGGGGGGGGGGCGGGAACGCACCAATTGGATATTTATTGCTGAAGGTGAACTTCAACCGGTAGGTTTCGTTCAGATATAGCGGGTTCTCGTCCAGCACTTTGATGTCCATGAGCCATTCTTCAAGGTTGTCGGATTTGACGATCGAGATGCCGGGCGGGAGGTGTTCTTTTATCTGTATAGTATGGCACGAACAGGCGCGGGGTGTTAGCTGGTGGGCTGGGTCTTTTTGAGGGGTGTGTTGTGTTAAATCTTAGATGTCGAGGAGAGCGAGGTTCTTGCGAATGGGGGCAGAGCCCTTGATTGTTGAGGGACCCGTGGTGGGGAGAGGGGGAAAGGCAAAGTCAACTCATTCATACCTTGAGAAGCTCCTGCGACAGACGGTGTAACGTTAGCCGGGGAAATTTGTCTTCGCGGGGGAACATGAGGAGAGACACAAAAAAAAAATACCTTGCTTAACCGCTTTGTAGCGAACATCTTGTAGAAGGGAACCTTGCACAGCACACTCTCAGAAGATCAAAGGCATCAACTCCGGGTTCCAGCGGTGTCCAAGTATCAAAGCCGGTGGCCGTTGAGTGAGGCTCTGCGGAGTCGAGTCGTACGGTCAATTTGGAGATGACGTCTAGAACTTTATGGGTGGGGCAGATGCGAAACAGGAATGCAGTCTCGGAAAAAGTAGGAAGGTATATCTGCGAGTTGAAGGGGGGGTGTTTTCTCTGGCAGAAAGGTTTATGCAAGATAACTTGAAATTGTATGAAGCAAAGACAGAGAGCGTCTGGTCTCGGGCGGCTCCCCCAGAAGTATGGAATGGGAAGAGTAGCTCCGCCCGTCGATCAGCTGGAGATCTGCCCGAGGCCCCCGTCACCTGATCTTGGTATTTCCACGTGATCGTTCTTCGGCCGTACAGACGGGACAGTATAGTAGTTACCACATGCAATACAGTACATGATCAGGTCAACTTCTCTTCCCTCTTGACCAATTTAGGTCATCTCACCCATGATCATAGATACTAGGTACCTAGTACTCTGTATCATCAATCATCCTGTTACTCACTACCATGTTTCCAGTGTCAACAGTTGTCAAGATTTTTGAGGTCACTATACACAGGGTGATTTGAAGATATAAAAGGAAAACTCGAGACATGGTCACAGTGCAGCACGAGACAGAAAACATAGGAAATCAGAACAAACAGAGTCAACGCCATGAAAACCAATTGGTACAACTGATATATCACCACAGCTCCCTGCTCCCACACACTTCCCATACACGCACAAGTGATATAGACAATTAATCTTTTTTTCTCTCTTGGTCATTTGTATTCGCTTCTAAATAGCAAAAGAAAATAGTTGGGTGCCACATATCAGGATCACGTGTCTTGAAGCTGTTTTACAGGTCTTGGAAATAACTCAGCCACGCTTCATTCAACTTCTACCGATCGACTTCACCGAACACAAGATCCATAGTACCTAAAGAACAGTTAGCTGATTGTTTCCTTTCTGTGAGTGAAGAACGGGCAGGACATACCAATGATAGCGACAGCATCGGCCAACAAGTGACCACGAGATACTTGGTCGAAACCACCCAAGTGAGCAAATCCGGGAGCACGGATCTTGCAGCGGTAGGGTCTCTCGCTACCGTCACTGACCAGGAACACACCCATCTCACCCTTGGGAGCCTCAATGGCGGAGTAGGTCTCTCCGGGGGGCACAGAGTAACCCTTGGTGAACAGCAGGAAGTGATGGATCAGAGCCTCCATGTTCTCCTTCATGGCGGCACGAGGAGGAGGGGAGATCTTGTAGTCCTCGACACGGACGGGACCAGCGGGCATCTTGTTCAAGCACTGGTGGATAATGCGGAGGGACTGGCGGAATTCCTCCATACGGCACAGGTAACGGTCGTAGCAGTCACCGTTGACACCAACGGGCACGTCGAACTCGACCTGGTCATAGGCGTCATAGGGCTGAGACTTGCGGATATCCCAGGGAACACCGGATCCACGCAGCATGACACCGGTGAAACTCATGTTCAGAGCCTCGGCGGCGCTGACGACACCGACACCCTGGGTTCTGGCCTTCCAGATACGGTTGTCCGTCAACAGCTCCTCGGTTTCGTCAATGCGGTCACCGAACTGGGTAGCCCACTGGTAGATATCGTCGAGAAGACCGATGGGGATGTCCTGGGACACACCACCGGGGCGGACGTAGGCAGCGTGAAGACGGGCACCCGAAACTCGCTCGTAGAATTCCTAGAATAAATGATCACAGATTAGCTCAATGGAGCTCAATTGACGCGGACAGCGCGGCTTACCATGAGCTTCTCACGCTCCTCGAAACCCCACAAGAAAGGCGTCAAAGCACCAACATCCATGGCGTGTGAAAGGACGGACATGAGGTGGTTCAGGATACGGGTGATTTCGCCGAACAAGGTACGGATCCACTTGGCTCTGTCGGGGATCTCAACGTTCAACAGCTTCTCAACAGCCAGGGAGAAGCACTGCTCGTTGGTCATCATGGAGACGTAATCCAATCGGTCGAAATACGGCAGGGCCTGCATGTAGGACTTGTACTCTATCAACTTCTCGGTACCACGGTGGAGCAACCCAACGTGAGGATCTGCGCGGACGATTTCTTCACCATTGAGCTCCAGAATCAACCGAAGCACACCGTGAGCAGCCGGGTGCTGGGGACCGAAGTTGACGGTGTAATGGCGGATCTTGCGATTAGCCCCTGTGTCCGTGGACTCCATGTCGGCGGCGTAATCGTCTTCGGAGGCACCTTCCTTGTTGGCGAAGGAGGAAAAGGTCGGGTCAGTCGGAATGAGCTTGGTCGCCTGGTAGCTGGTCGGCTCGGCCTGCCGGCGAGGCAGAGTCGTCGTGATCGAGCGGCATCTGGGGAGAGCAGTGTTTCTGGAGAAGGTAGAGGGGCGGAGGCAAAGCCTTTTGGGCGCATTGCCCGCCAGGCGAGCGAAGGGAGCAGCCATTCGGAAGAGCGGGGTAGAAAGGACGAGGGTGAGAAGAGGCGGAACAGCCCTCAGCCCAGACACAATGGAGGTGTTGGAAGGAGGGGTGGAGATGCGGGAATTGGGGATGTGGAATTGAGGCGGGCTCAGTGACGCCTTCTGGAGGTTGCGCTTTCCAATCGAGATACATTTTGGATCGTCACGTGAGAGGAGCTTTCTGGTCATCAGGCCGTCTCTGGTTGGTCTCCCGCTCGGCCCTCTATTGCTCAGCTCCCTAGTGCGGCCGACAGCCATTGCCGCTGGGTGCAGAATAGAGAGCCCTGCTCTGCTCCCCCTCCCGCTCTTCGCCGCCTTTGGCCCTGCAGAAAATACTGCCGCTGCGGTCAAAGAACTTTTCTGAGAATCCGCTTCAAATTATTGTCCCTTCGTCACCTTCTTCAATTCCCCCACTTTTCTCGCCCATCATGGCACCCCTCATCGCTTCGCAGGAGGAAGTCCAACGTAGACGGGTATGCCTGGCTCTTCTGCTCTTGCTTCTAACATCTTCTCCGACCCTTCGTACTAATTGCGCTCCCAGATTGTCGATATCAACCCCGAAACCGTCTCCAACTTCGCCTCGACAGATTTCCCCGGTCACTGGCCTGGCGAGTCGCACGAATGGAACTTGCAAAAATTCCGTGATGTATGTCCGTCCAGCTCAAACTCAAGTCCAGCTTCCTTCACTGCCAATTTGTTTCTTGCGCGCATGCGCTAACGTATCTTACTCTCGCACGACATAGAACTTCAATGTCGAGTTCCACCGGAACGAGCAATTCGAAGCTTCCTTCTCGCTGGTCGGCGTCGACGCCTCGATCGCCAATGCCTTCCGCCGCATCCTCATGGCCGAGGTGCCCAGCATCGCCATCGAATTCGTGTTCGTCCACAACAACACCTCCGTCATCCAGGACGAGGTGCTCGCGCAGCGGCTGGGTCTGATCCCCCTCAAGGGCTCCGTGGAGGGCATCAACTGGATGCGGTGGTTCAAGAAGCCCACCGA